TCACCCCTGTCCCCGCCCCAGGTGACAGCGATGACGCCTCGGAGCCCCCCGAGGTGAAGGTGAAGGTGCGCAACGTGATGTACCTGGAGGAGGAGGAGGAGGAGGAGGAGGAGGAAGAGGAGGAAGAAGAAGAGGATGGGGAGGACATGGAGCAGGAGCAGGAGGGCAGGAAGGTCGTGGTAAGGGTGGGGATACCCCGCCAAAAAAAAATCTCTGTAGCCTAAAAAAGTCCCCAAAAAACTCCTCCTTCACCCCAAAATTCTCCTTTGTCCATCGTAGGGATCCTTTGGAATCAATCTGGGGATTTTGGGGGGGTTGGGGTGTCCTACCCCCCTCATATTTTAGGGTGACCCCTGGTTTGTCTGTGACCCCCACACGTTTGTGCCACACCTCTGGACCCTCCATCACACCAAAAATCCCCCCTGCAGCCCCCTTGGGTTCCCTTCACAGTGACTCACCCTGGGGTCACCCCCTTTGCCCCCACTTTATTGGAGATTGGGGTCTCCCCGCCCCCCCCCTCACATTTTCGGGTGACTCTGCTGTGTGTCCCTGAACCCCCCTCCATGTGTCTGTGCCCTCTCACCCCAAAAATCCCCCTACACCCCCATTTTGAGTCATCTTTCCTTGCCTTACTCCCCCCCTTCACCCCTGTTATTTGGGGGGTGGGGGGGTCTCTGCTGCCCCCCAGTCTCGGGGTGACCCCCAGGTTTGTGCTCCCCCAGGTGTTCTTCACACGGAACGGGATGGTCGTGGGGCGCAGGGAGGTTGGGGTCCCCCCCGGGGGGCTCTTCCCCACCGTGGGGATGCTCAGCACTGGTGAGAAGGTCAAGGTGGACCTGCACCCCCTGAGTGGATAAAGGGGGCCCCGCGTGGGGCCCCCCAAAACCTGAAACCCTGCGGTGCTCCTGGTGCCCCCTCCGGGCCCTCCCAGTGCACTTTAGGGGGTTTCCACAGCAGTGGGGACCCCCCCAAGGTGGTTTTTAGGGGGTTCACTCCTGCCCCCACCCCCATAATGTCCCTCTTATGGCGCCTCTTTGGTGGGGGGGGTTCCCCTCATTGAATCCCCCCTCAAAAGTACCCCACCCATGCCCCCCTAGATGGTTTTTGGGGAGTCTCAGCCATGGCCCCCTCATTTTTGGGGGACTCAGTCCTGTTTCCCCCCAGTTATCCCAA